TTATAACAATAGTGTTCACACGTTACCGACAGAGTAAATACGCATTGCGAGTGCTTCCAACCTTTGTGAAGTGCGTTAGTTGTTCTGTCGATAACGTGTGAACAGTATTGTTATAAGCACTCGCAAATACAGACAATCAGAAAGATTGCGTTAGGTGTTCTGTCGGTAACGTGTGAACATTATTGTTATAAGCACTCGTGGGGGATGAGAATATTCAGAAAGCCCAAATACAGATGATCGAACAAGCAAATAAGCATCGTCGACCACCCCGGTTTAAAAAAGGAAATTTGGTTCGGGTGAAATCCAAAAAATTATCCATCGAAGAGAATGTGTCTCAAAAGTTGCTACCTGTCTACTATGAACTCTGGGAAGTTCTCAAGGTGATAGGGGACGCAGACCAATTGTCATATCACATTGACATCTCCCCTCACCTCAAGACATACACGATCCTTCACGCTTCCAAACTGCTACCATATGCAGAAGGCTAAGAGTTTCCCAATCGGTCGTCCATGTTTCCTCCCTCCATGAATGGAAGATGCGAAGTCAGACTGATATTGGAACATGGACACTTCTCCGCAGGTGGTAGGGAAAGACCACATAAGTTGTAGAAGGTAAAGTTTAAGACAACCCGAATCAGAATCAAGATGGTCACTAGAAAAGAACTTCTACCTACTGCACCTGATATTGTCGCTGCATATGAGCGTGGGTTAAAAGAGCATTGAGCCTAAAGAAGTTGTTTCTGCGATGAAACTCGAAATTGGGCCCGATGGAATGTAATAACTCATCTCAAATATGCACCAACTGTGTTTGGGTTGTGGGTCGTCATTTTTGTCAAAGGCCCGAAACGAGGTCAAAGGTCACGCCCAAGTCATGAAAATGCCTACCCGAAGGTCTACTGCTGTGGGGTACCTAAAGGCAAGGCCAAAACAGGCCTTCAGAGGTCCAACATGAGACAGTTGATCTTGGGAAAGTCAACAGTCAACTTCAGCTCGGAAATTCATACCCCAATCAAAGTCAACATGAATCTAGCCTTGGCCACAAATCAGATACACACTTTGGTTGTTTGCAGGTATCCGGAGGACCGGAGGAGATAAAGTCCAAGTGGGACTCGTCGGTTTCTGCAATTGTACGGAATCCAGGGCATTGGTCGAGCGATCTGGGCCACCGTATGCGAGAGAGCAGAGGCTGGTCAACACTCGTCAACGCTATAAGTTACTCAACCCCTGGCTGTGGTCATTAAGTCTTGCACTTGTTGCTTGACGCTGGCTAGACGCTGGCTCTATGCTGGTTTAACGCTGGCTTGACGCTGGTGTGACGACGCAGGGCTGCCAGAGCTTTATACTGGTGCCATTCTCTGACTACGGCGCCAGTTGTGCACTTAATTATGCTGACGTGGCTCTTGTCATAGTGATTACGACATTGACGGAGTACAGGCGAGGAGGAGGAGGATCAGGATTGTGAGAATGGTTCATTGAGAAAGGGAAGCTTACCCGATTGTGAACGTGTCGACATTGTGCATTGTTGTCGCTGGGGGATGGGCGCCAGGCTGGAGTCTACTTACTGTCAGAGCTTGTCGGGGGAGACTGTTTGCTGACGTGGCGAGTAGGGAGGTGCCCGAAGAGGAAGTGGGCTTGCCAGGGAGCTTTATCTACAGTAACGATGGACACTCTACCCCCCCCCTCAACTTCTTCTCTGGTTACAAGACATTGAGATACTTTGATGACAAGTAGAGTTTCATGTACGATATTTCGAGACATTGATTCTGCGCCGAGACATTCTGTATCCCGACAATAATGAGCTTTCCACGATACGGGGTTCATTGCACAAGTTACCCGGTTTTCCATTATTTTTTCCAACGGACAAAAAATCGCGGAATCAAGCCTGGAGCGGTGAGTAGGGTCGATTTTTCATCCCCTACCACCCCATGCAATTCGATTTGTAAACTGACCCCTGCTAAGAAGTTATGGACCTTAATTAGTTTTCTAATCAAGACCCCTGACCTCCCGAATCGCTCGATTGCTCATGTTTTGCCCCCTTGACCGAAATTAGGGTTTTCTCATACCCATTGTAGTTTTTCAAACTCGTGATTGCAAATCTGACGCCAGGCCTCCCATTCAGAAATACCTGCTCATCACAAATCCACACGACCCCCAACCCAACCCACCATTATTCCTTTCTCTCCAGCTATTGTACCACTGTCACACCCATTTCCCTGCCTGAACTTCTTCCATAACTGCGCTGTTCTCCGACCCTTCCCTTACCTATCTCCCATCCCTTCCCTATCCTCTTACCAACTTCACTAACATCCAATCCCCTCTAGCTCTAGTTATCACTCTTCTTCACGATCTGAACCCTAGGAAAACAGGAGAGAAGTACAGAATTTTGATATGAGAAAGAGACAGAAAGGACGCCCAATATCATTTCGAATATCGACATTTTGAAAATCCCTATCAAAATATCTTCATTACTGAACTTGCAGCATGTAAATTTCTTTTCCCCAAAATCCCAAAAAGCATTAATTCAAAAATCAAACCAATAAAGTTGAATAAACCCATCAGATTGTTATCTCACTCTATATCTATAATATGATATTAATATCTATATTGATCAATTTACTATCAAAAAAGTTCTCACAATTTTGCTATAATTTGATATCGAAAATTAAAAACTTTGAATTTATAATTATTATTTTATTTAAAATTCGTAATTTTTATATTTTTAGTAACTTTGAACCTTTGAACTTCCAAAAAAATTAAATTCATTCTATTCTTGTACCCTCCTACCACTAATCACACCTCGGTTTTAGTCGCCGTCTACATGGGCAGAGGCACTAGCACCAATAAGAAGGCCGCGGCAAAAGAGCCTGATGCTGGTCACACACCATCCAAGGCGCCTGCCGAGCTTGGACTTGCCTGTCCAGAGGACATCACAATGTCCTCTGTCAACGCGACCAACTCCGCAAAACTCCCCAACTTCGGACGACACCTCTACTTCTGAAGCTCCCGACAATAACCAATCATCTACCCCCCCCATAACTCTCTACAGTCTCACTAAAATGATACTCTCCCTCACAGCCTGTGTCTAAAATGATGTCCAAGGAATCAAAAAATCTATGTAGTCCATGAGAAACGATCTGGAGGATCAAATTCAGGACATGCATAATGCAGCCTGCACCAAAATCACCATCATATCTGCTTCCTTCCCATCAACCCCGACCGCACAACCCCCCTCACACCAGTCTACCACAATAAGTGCTCCTTCCTCCTCCTCGCACACCCCATCCAAACCGACCATCTCCTCCACCACCGCTCCAGTTGCACAAACAACTGTCCCACCACTAACATGTGTCACAACCTTTCCTCCAAAACCTTCTTTTCTCCCCCGTGTCAATGTTTCAACCCCACCCATCGCATGCACTATTGGCTCTACGACCCCTCCCGTCCTTCCCACTGCACCTACATACTCCCAGACTCTCTGCATGCCATTCCGGCTTCCCCCTTTCCCACTCAACCCACTCATTCCTTCAACATTGGAAGATCTTACTGCCGTTAGTGCCAGTGCAACATCATAGGCACCTTGTGGTATCAATGCTTTTGCCCAAAAAGCGCCTGAGATTGGGCCCCTACCCCATGGATTCAAGCCGGAGCCGAGGAGGCCAGCCGGCGAGGCCGCGCAGCCGAGTTTGCGTGCGGCCGCGCCACGGCCAGGTGGAACTGCGCGCCACCTGTGCAGGTCGGCCCCTGGCTCCCCCGCCCAAAAATAAATAAATAAATAAAAATTGGGGGGGGTCAATAATTTGCGCGCCACGGCCAGGCGGAACTGCGCGCCACCTGTGCAGGTCGGCCCCTGGCTCCCCCGCCCAAAAATAAATAAATAAATAAAAATTGGGGGGGGTCAATAATTTGGTTTTCAGAGGGGTTCTAGAACAAAGCGAGGATGTCCAACTCACCCAAATACCCTAGGCCGCGGGTGTCACTGTGACCCCGCGAGGTAGGCCTTGTTGGCCACAACTGCGGCCGTGCACAAGGTGGATGCTTTAGGTGCAGGCAACTCAGGAACCAACAAACCAGTTGCCCGAACCCCGAGTGGTTCACCCGTAAGCCTTAGACCAGGCCGACCACTTCACAGCTCACTACCGCTGCTGCTGGACCTTCCACATCCTCATTATGTGAGGCTTTACTCTCTCGAAGGAGACCATGTGCAAAATGAAAAACTGCAGCGTCCAATAGCATGCTAAAGCATCGCCCTTCTGCCTCGTCCACTCAGGCCTCAAACTCCGTGGTATTTTCAAGTTTCAACTTTGACCGCAATGCAGGGAATTCCCAAGGACTGCTAACCCACAGGTCAAGAGTTTGGACTCTGTAGAGACAATTTGATGGTGTTGGGGGGAAACTTCTTTGGATGGAGATGAAGGAAATGACCCAGGGACTGAAATTTGTATGATTGCTCGCACTTGGCCAGAGGTGGAGAGAGAAGGCAAGAAGGAGAGGAAGAAAAGAGGATGGAGTAGAGGTAGGAGGTCGAGGAGGAGGAGGAGGAGGAGGAGGGGAAGGAGGAGGAGGCTCTGTAATCTCTGGTTTTAGGGACTGAGAATCATGAAGCCATACATTTAAACCACCACTATGTTTCCCAGTCATTCTTTCCAAGCCGTGGGGTGCATGCAGCCACAACTATTGGGCCTTAACCTCCGGAGCAAAATGGCTGGCGATGCCAGCCAAAAGGAGGCCCGTGCAGGCTCATTTTTTCTTTGGTGCGCAGGGCATTTCTGTCCCCGGAGAAAAGTGCCTCGGAAGTAGTGGTGGTTTAAAGGTTTCATAGTAAAGGAAAAGAAGTAGGAGAAAGACCAATCCTACGATAGGCGGATGGGCTCTGTACAACGGAATGGGAAATCTGTTCAGCGAATGACCCAAATAATTATTTGATACATTAGTAGATTTTGCTTGCACGATACTTGACCTTTGTGAGATCTCAGAAAGAACTTTGAGAAAGTGGTAATTCACCTGGTACCCCACTTCCGATAGCAGCCTTGCTGCCATAATTAAGGTGATAATCGCATTTGCCAATGCTGTCTCTTTCTCTTGCACTCTCTTCTGTGTCTGCATACACACACACACACACACACAGAAGGAGAAGGTTTAGTCTTTCAAGTCCTGTGTATGCATGCGTACCAAAAAGGTGGAGCTTGATGAGCTAAATGTTTGCAAGTGCATTCGAAACACACGTACAGGCCTCCGGCATACCAACCGCTGGTGTACCAGAATCCAATCAGGATGTAGGCCGAATAAAGGAGAGGAACGTCCTTCTGCGACATCCGTTAAAATTGGAACGATATCGAGAGATAAACTTGGCCCCTCCGCAAGGATGTAATGCATAAATTCAGAAATGGACCAAATGGTCCAATTTTGTTTTCCATCTCTTTTGAAAGGGAAGGGAAGGAGACGAACAGAACGAGTGTTGCAAAGCGAACGACAGAGAATATTGCTCGTCAGCTATCAACTACCAAGCCTCCAGAGATTCTTGCGTTTCAGGACAATCTGACGGCCCACACATCTTCTTCAATGGAGAATCTTTAGACTATCGAGTCCTGTGTGTGCTGACAGCAACCTAAGAAGAAAACAAGGCTAACCTGTCATTCAAACGTTCTTGAATGGAGCATTTGACTTTCAACTTTCAAGTCTTGTGTGGGCTGACAGGGATGTCCAAGGTTTTCGGCCTGAATGGAAGGAAGCACAGATGTCTGGAGCACTTGACTTGCCACTGTTGCTGGAGGAAAAGGAATCAGACTGCAACTGGCCTGAATAGAATGGGACGGGCACCGAAAAGCCCGGTTAATCGACAAAACAAAACATGCAATGACCTGGGAGAGAGAGAGAGAGAGAGAGAGAGAGAGAGAGAGAGAGAGAGAGAGAGAGAGAACAAACGAGGGCCTACAGGCCCTGTGTCGTTTCAGCCTGAAAGCCTGAAAACAAGGGCCTACAGGCCCTGTGTCGTTTCAGCCTAAAACAGGGCCTTCCCGGCCCTGCGATCTTAAGATCTTAAGATCGTGCCGATACGGCGCGGCGATCCGGTAGGACCCGATGGCCGGGATTTCAGATTTGTTACATGATTAGGTTGATCTGGGCCGTGGGCTGGTAGGACCAACAACTGCCCGGATTTCAGATTTTTTTTTTTTTTTTTTTTTTTTTTTTTTTGATGGGAAMAAGGCTCCAATCTATTCGTGGGGAGCAACACGTGCTGGGAACCGGGCCCAGCGTCCCATATGGAAATTAACATAAAATTTTGAAAAATTGAGATGCCGGGGCCATTACCCGACTTTGGCTCAGAAAAAAATGGAGCTACTTAAAGAAATGACCACGACAAACTTCAGAATATGAACGGAATTCAGGAAACTACTCAGAAACCCCCCCCCTCCATCCACTTTACCTCACTCCAGCAAGACTTACTGCAGCAGAGCCACCATCTCCGCTGCTGCTTTACCCTATTCCCATCCTACCAGCTAGCCCCCTCACTAGTAGGACGCGTGATATCCCACCATCTCCCCACTGGCCTCGTTCTTTTTTGGCTCAAAAAATTGGAGCTACTTAAGAAATGACTACAACAGGCTTCAAGACTACGCAGGATTCAAAATCCAACTCAGAACCCCCCCCCCCCCCATCAATCCTCTGCTCCTCACTCCCGCAAGACTTACTGCAGCAGAGCCACCATCTCTACTGCTGCTATACCCTATTCCAATCCTACCAGCTAGCCCCCTCACTAGTAGGACGCCTGATATCCCACCATCTCCTTCTCCCACTCTCCTCGTTTCTTTTTAGAATAGACCGCTGGGGTCGTGAAAGAAGCGCCAAAAAATCTCGAGCTCCCTAACAAGCCCTTCCAGAGTTCCTCAAAGTTGTCTTTCTCCCTGCCGAGCTCTTCCAAGCCTCACACCCCCACTTCCTGCTGGGTTACAGGGCAACACAACTCGCCCAAGCTCCGGCCAGCGTCGACCCAGCAGCAAACCTTGGTTGTTCCGTGAGATGCCCACCCCAAAGCATCCCCAGATCTCTTTACCAGGCCTCACGCTCCTGTGTCAACAGGTTACAGGGCCAACACCCCAGCACCGTCCAGTGTCGTTCTGGCATAGAACAACCGCAGATCGCTGAGTATAACAACTTCAAGTTAGCCTAGGAAAAGTTGATAGAGGCCCCAGAATCCTAGACCTTCTCAAATCCCCCTAACGGCCAACCAGGATAGAATTCAGGAAAAGGGGGTCGAAGCTAGAAACTAATACCAACTATCCTAAAATCCATCCCCCTCTCAACAAGCGGACCGTCGTCACGTTACCGATTTTCATAGTGTAGGGACCACGTCAGAGCCTGAGCAGACTAGATTGGCCTTAAATTTCAGGTGTTGCAGATCCAGCAAGGCCGAATGCATGTGCCACTTAAGTCCATCTTCCTTGTGCTCCTCAAATCTGACAAAAATGTTCCGCTTGGCTATCTGAGCCCTTTCCCCTGATTCCGTAATGGTAGTCTGTGGACCTGGGTCAAAATATTTGGAAAGAAACTCGTGTAACCCCACCATACGGATCCTGCCCAATTGGAGAAAGTCCGATTTCCCATTCTTCATCCTTTTTTCGAACTGGGGTAATCAAATCGCATCTCGAAATTTGGGGGTTATTGGCTTGTCTCTTTTCTAAAATCTGCCTCAGTTTTAATCTCTTACCAGTTTCCTGGGAGACTGGAGGAGGAAAAAAAAACGATCAGGGATTCTTGAGATTGCAGGCTCTGTGACTTCAAAAGGAGGCTATGTATGTTCCAGTTGCTGTTTCTGCTGCACCTACTGTTGTGACGACTGTTGTTGCTATCCCTGAGAGGGATCCTGTATTTTTCGTTCTTTTTTGCAACAATTCCATGTCAGCCGCGACAACAAATCAGCTGATTGCATCTGATGTGTGGAAAGGGGATGATGCTGTCTTTGACTAGGCAACACTTCATCCATGTCTCTAATCTCCTCAACCTGCTTTTGTTGATGATGTGTGGTCAGCAGGCTCACCGAGGGGAGGGGCTTTTGTGTTTGCGGCAGCAACACTTGCTGTGACTACAATTGGAGATGTTGATGCCCTTGCTGCTGGTCTCCTGAGCCTGCCTTAAAATCAAGTGACAAGTCTTCCCCCAGCTGTCCTCCCCCTTTTACCCCTAATCATTACTGCAATTATTTTCTGAAACATCTTCTTTCCCATTGGAGGAGATAGATTGGTATATCCTAAGATAATTACATCTTCCGAAAACTGCACTAGCCCCGAGTCCCGTTGAGGGGAGGAGACTGCCTCCTGACTTGCCGTTTGATGGCTAGCGGCCCTTTGGTCTAATAGTTCAGAGACTATGTTGCATACATTAAAGATTCGTCATCCTGATTGGACGAATCTTCTGGTTGGGCCCCTTGAGAGACAGAATAACTGGAACCAACGCATTATTATGTTTTTCGAACTTTTCCCTCCCTTTAGTCCATAGGCTCCCGTCGGTAACCCCTGCTGCAACACACTTGTCAGACTCACACTGCCATTCAACACATCTAATGATTGCAAATAAGAAAGATCCCAAAACTCAACCATAGCAACACCAAATTTAATATAGAGCCTCTGAATTAACCAGTCTGCTAATTGTTTTATTTTCTGGTCCAGTTGGATGAGATTTATCTTCCCCTGATGGACTGGGGAATGCATCTGTCATAGGGACGTCGGTAGATTACTGGGTGTTGAAGTCCATTGGGACTGGACCAAAAGAGTCCTTGAAAGGGTCACGCAGGCCCTGTTCGTGATTCTGCCTCCCCATTGCATATCTGAGGCATTCTCTTGCTCAACATTGAGTCCCCTTGATGTGTGGTCAAACCTTGAACCCCGCCCTTGTTTGTTATTATTATCTTTTTTTTTAATCCTTTTTAGTTTCTGTCCTACTCTACTCCTCATCGCCTCTGCTTCTAAATTTTGGCGGTGCCTCTAGCTTGGGCTTTGATATCAGCTCGCCCTCAGTTTCCACTTTTACAGCGTTATTAAGGGAAGAAGGTGCGGTGTGCTTGGACTTGCTTGACCTTACAGCTTGGTCACAATAGCGCCTAGCTTACTGCTGATAGACGCCCAGCTCATCAACATGAGCAGAATTGCAATGTGGAGATGGCTGCTAATCTCTCTCCCGCATTAGCGATTTGCTCTGCTGCAATCTGCTTGGAGTCTCTTATGCCTTTCCTACGTGACCCTCTACGCTGCGGATCCTGCGGCTGAGGAGGCCGGCCGTGGGCCCGCGGCCGAGTTTACGCGCGGCCTCGCCAGGGCCAGGCGGGGGCGCACGCGCCCCGCCTGCACACTTCGGCCACTACCACCCTCCCCC